GGATATGCAGCACAGTGGCCAAGAGGCTGAGGGAAGAGGGGATTACCACACCCTCACCTAGATTGAATTGGATTGAAGATCAGTGCAAAGGAAAACTAGCTAACTTCACCCTGTCTTTCTGGCCTAAGTGTTCTAGACCACAGAGAAAGGGAAGTTTGCCTGCAGTAATAATGTTGGGACTCTGGAGGTGAGGGCTGGATTGGGGATAACTCTAAGGTGGTCATTCCCAAGTGCCAGGATCAGTATGTGCAACAGCCTGAGTAGGAATAAAGAAGTGGAAGAAGCTCCTTTCCTCCGCCCTCATCCCCATCTCCATTTCAAAGATACAATTTCCTAGAGGAGGAACATATGGGGCATCACATCCCTGGGACTGAGCACTGAGGAAGCGAGGGTGCTGCATGGTTCCCCAGTTCTTGACTTGCGTCTGTAACTTCCTCTTTACTTGCTGCCATTCTTTTCCTGTGTTTTTAATGACCTTTCTAAGATTTTTTTTTGGTGTATGGTAACTGTTAAAAGAGCAAGGGCCACAAAGGCGCAACCATATCGGACCTTCACCAACTTTACAAAGGAAAATTGTCCCCATCAACAGCATCAGTAACATAAAACAAATTCCCATGAGGTTAGATATGTCCCTCATGCTCCCATACATCATCTTTCTACTCTTCTCAATACCATTCTTACTGATTTGCTGGGTTCAAAATCTGATACAGTAGCTCACAGACCACACAGAACCATGTTATGGAAGTCAGAAGGTTATAATCCAGGTTTGTATCAGAATACAAGTCATGACAGCTCCCTAAATGTGTACACAGGCACCTCAGCTGTGAACTTCACAGGCCAGTGGTCCCAGTTTTTCAGTCCTGCCAATATTGGCTTTCCACCCCTAGTTCAACAGAGTTCTCAGTCCTGCCAGTATTGGCTCTGCCCTCTAAGATCACATCCGGTCTTCAGTTCAGCTATGGCTGTTGCTACTGTAGGTGTAGCTGGAGTATGAAAAGTGTCCTACATTATCTTGCTGCTTTTTCAGTGACAGGGGAAAAATCTCTTTATATGGCTAGAGCTGTTCAGTTTATTGGTGAGACTAGCTAATCCCCTTGTAGATTGTTGAGATTGGCCAATCCCCTTGTGGAATGATGAGACAGTCAGTTCCCATATGCATAGGTTAACATGCCCCATTCACTTAGTCTCACCCATCCACATGGTCTAGGCAGATTCAGATGGCTAGGAAAAGTCATATTGAAAGATAAACTCCACAACATCTTCCCACAACTCATCTGAGCTTTGATCATTGGTGTTCAGTGCCTCAAAACTCTTCTTATGATGGTCTATAAATTCTGATGTTCTATGCTAATGGTACTATTTTGGATTTTGTGGATTTCTTTTCCTTTTCCTTCAGCTTTAATTTAAACTTGCATATGAATAGTTTGATGGTCTGTTCTGCAGTTGGCCTCGGGTCTTGTTCTGACTGGTAATGTTGATCATCTCCATTTACACAGATGTAGTCATTTTGGTTCCTGTGTATTCCATCTGGCACAGTCCACGTGTATTGTCATCATCTGTATTTTGAAAAAGGTGCTCATAATGAATACATCATTAGTAATATAGAAGCTTTACATGCTGTCTCTTTCTTCATGTCTATTACCAGGGCTGTAATTTCTAACTACTTATTTGTTTCCAACTTTTGTTCTAGTCACCAATAATCATCATTACATTTTGATTGCATGTGTGACTGATTTCAGACAGCAGAAATGGGTAGAAATCTTTAATTTTTTCCTCTCTGGCTTTAGTCGTGTGTTTGCCGATTTGCAGAGAGTACTAGTTGGTTATTGTGCTTTAATGATTATGCAGAGGCAAATTATGGCTAACATTATGAAGAATGGGAATCACAGAACTCTTGATTGCGCTTATGCGAAGATTATACATAGACCAGGAAGCTGTTGACTGAACAGTGTTCAGTCCTTTAGAAACACTGCATGGTTTAAAATAAGGGTTGTATGCTTTCTCCATACCTATTTAATCTGAGCAAATCATTTGAGAAACTAGACTATATATGAAGAATGTAACATCAAGAGTGGAGAAAGACGCATCAACAACCTGTGTTATGCAGATGACATAACCTTGCTTGTGAAAAGTGAAGAAAACTTGAAACATTTGCTCCAGAAAATCAAAGACTGCAATATAGGTTACATCTCAACACCAAGAAAACAAAAAAAATCCTTACCACTGGACCAGTTGGCAAAACTGTGATTGACAGAGGAAAGGTTGAAGTTAAGATTTTTTTTTTTTTAACTTGGATCCTCAGTCAACACCCAGGAAAATAGCAGTCAGAAAATCAAAAGAAGTGGTACATTGAAGAAATCTGCTGTCAAAGATCTCTCCAAAGTGCTGAAGAGTAAGCATATTGATACAGACTAAGAGGCATCACACCCAAACCATAGTCTTTTTAATCACTTCCTAGGCATCTGAAAGTTGAGCAGTGAATAAGGATTACAGAAGAAAAATCAATGCCTTTGCATTGTGGTGATAGAGAACAGGCCTGAATATCCCACACACTGTCTGAAGAACAAACAAGTCTGTCTTGAAAGATATGCAATCAGGCTGTTCCTTAGAGGCAAGGATGGTGAAAGTTCATCTCACAGTTTGGGCAGGTTGTCAGAAGGGGGAAGTCCCTGGAAAAAGACATAATGCAGGGAAAGGTGGAGGGGTAAACAAGAGAGGAAAACCCTCAGTAAGATGGATTGAACCATTGACTAAGAATGGACTCAAGTATCAGAGATGATGAGGGTGGAACGAGATAAATCTGGCTAGTTTCAGCTCTGTTGTTTATAGGGTTGCTGTGAGTCTTAGTTGACTTGCTAGCATCTAAGAATAACCACCATGACCCATGCAAATTTGAATAGCAATGGTATAAGCAGGTCTTTTTTGAATATGTATAGATATTATCCTATTCCTGATGGCATTATACTTCATGATAGGTCTTCAAATGTTCTTAATGACAGTGACAGTGACACAATTCCTCTTCAGTTTATAATTTCTAGCATAGTAGACCATGTGATTGTACTAAACGCACTTTTCCTAAATTCTTTATGTATTTCACATTTAGATTAATGGATGCTTGTAGGTGTTTCTTCTTATTTTGAGTCATCAGCACATGAACGTTTTACTCTGTGTCTTTAAGGCATATGTTTGCATGATTTATCAGATTGCTAACCAAAAGACTGATGGCTTGAATCCACCATCCACTCAGAGGTTGAGAGATGGCCAGTCTCCTCGTGTAGAATCTCAGAAACCCAGGTGTGTGTGTGTGTGTGGGGGGGGGGGGTTACTGTGAGTTGAAACCAAATTAGATCCACTTTGTGGAGGCAAAGGTTTCCTCTGGCTGTTTTCCTCAGAAGTAGATCATGAATCCTTTTTCCTTTTTTTGGTGTGGAAGCTCTGTTGAAATCTGGTCACCATGGGTGACTATGCTGATATTTAGTGGCAAAGATTCTAGCATAACAACAAATACAAGCCTCTGCAGTGTAATAGGTAGACAGACAAGTGGTGCTTTTAAAGTCTGGGAAATCTTTTGTCCTAATAACTTGGGGAATGTGGTGCTCTGTCCTGACACCTCATGCCTCCCTGTACCAGGGCGAGGAAACAACACAAATCTTTCATAATTCTCTTTCATCAAGCCTTATGTAGTATCCCCTCTCTCCTTATTCTCAGCTGCCAGCTTAACTTCTTATCTAATTTGCTTAGAAAATATTTGTAGTCAAGTGAGAACTTCCACCATGACATTTGCCCCCTGCGCTCCACATCCATGCCTGGTTCTGCATCCTCTCTACTTACTGCTTTGAATGAATTGGCTTCAACAAAGGGCAGCCTCATCACTAGACTCCATGCCATCTCATCTCCTTAAAGACAGTAGTCTTGTAATTTTCTCTTTTCTCATCTGCACTCTTACAGATTGAATTTTATACTTCTAAAATATGTGTTAGAATCCTCACCTTTATACCTATGAGTGTAATTATCTTTAGAAATAAAATTTCCTTTGTTAATGTTAATGAGACTGTATCCCTGTATGCTGTGTTTAAACCTAATCACTGTAGCTATAAGGAGATTAGATTAGACACTGACGCAGCCAGGAGGCAACTGGAACAGGTGGGACAGAAGTCCTAAGGAACTCTGTGGAGCACAGTTCTCCTTAGACGTAGAGTGACTGTAAATGCAAATTGACTTGAATGAAAGTGGTTTTGATTTCTTGAAGAGGTTTTGAGTGGAAAGTTAGATATACAGAACCTGGAATTCAGGGGGAAAAATCTGAGCTTGTGAAAGAAATTTTATTAATCAGGATATTGTTGGTATTTAAAGACACAACAGAAAATGAAAATACCAAAGAAATAATTATACCCAAAACAGTAGCTATCTGGAAACAAAGGCCAGAGATAAGAGGTCAAAAAAGCCAAAAAGTCAGTGAGCTAGATGAAAAACTCAGGAGAAAACTTATTTTTTTAGAAGCCAGGTGAAGAAAAATATTTTAAAAGCTATAAACTGTGTCAGATGCCACAGTAAGAAGAGACTTAAGAACTGACTGTGAGATTGACAATGTAGATCTTACTCCTGGCTTTCATGAGAGCAGAATTGATAGGCAAAGGCCTGAATGATTCAAGATCCAGCAGAGAAAATCGATGATGTGTGACTTAGCTTGAGTGTTACTGAAACAGAAATAATGTAAGTGGCTCATTTTAAGGAACAGAAATTTATTTCCTCACAGTGCCATAAACGAGGAAGAAACTGACTGAGTCAGAGGCTGAGTCTTGATTTTGTCTTCTACCCTCTGGAACTGTGAGAAAATACCATATGAAGCTCAGCTTCGAGGTTTAATTCTTAATTCCTTCAGGGTGCAGTGTTCTGCTAGCCAGATATAGAACTTAGCCAACCTTTCTCTTTCAAGTGATATTACTATGGTAATAGATTACTATACAATTAAGTTTTCAGGAAATGTTTTTCCTTTTTAGAAGGAAGTTTTCCCGTTTCCAGAAGTTACTCAAGAAGAACTTAATGAAATTAATCAGTTTGTGGGACCAGTAGAAAAATTCTTCTCTGAAGAGGGTATGTATGCTTTTCTTTATTATTAGAGTTATATTTTAAGAAAGATTCCTTTACTGTTTATACTGGAATGATTATACTTAAGGGATGGTCTCTTGAATACTTAATCACAGAGCAATCGTATCTACTGATAATATTTTAAGGATCATCTCAATTTGTATTTAGTTATAAAACATTTCTTTCAATACTTCTCAATGCATCTATGGGGAGGGACTTCTTACAAAAATTTTCTGCCTATTGCACTCTGACATTTTAGTAAAATCTGTTAAAAATTATTTACTAAGAAAATAAAGAAAAAGAAAAGACATAGGAAATAAGAGTCCACCAGTTATGTTCTTGATTGCTGTGGCAATATAAAACCACTACACATATTTTCAAAAGCTTAAACTCAATATCTGTACTTGGCCTTTTATGAACCAGAAGTAGCTTGTGGACCATCACCAACCTGTAGACAATGAGTAGCATTTGTTGTTGTTGTTGTTGTTGTTGATTGCCATCAGTCAAGCACAACTCATAGCAACCCTATGAACAAAAGGCCTGAAGCCTTTTTATAACTGTTGTTGTTTCTCAAAGTTTATAGAGTTTTCAGAGGCATGTTGTTTAGGAAGTGGATGCCATTTACCTAGACTAAAATTCCTTTGTCTCACACTCACAGGCAGGATCCTTCATAGTATTCAGCAATTTGCAAGCAAGGGAGTGCCCTTGCACTAAAATGTTGTTATTTTTAGGTGCCGTTGAGTCTGGTATGACTCATCGTGATCCTATGAATACAGATCTGAACCCTGTCTTACCCTGTGCTATCCTCATCATCTCTGACAGACTTGAGCCCATCGCTGTAGTCACTGTGTCACTCCATCTCATTCACGGTCATCTTCTTTCACTGACCTTTCCAAGCATGATGTCCCTTTACAAGGAATAGGCTTTCCTAGCAACATACCCAAAGTGTGTGAGACAAAGCTTCTTCATCGTTGCCTCTGAGGAACATTCTGATTGGGCTTTTCTCAAGATATATCTGTTTGTTCTCTTGGCTGTCTATGGGATATGCAGTACTCTCCTCCCACATCACAGCTCAAAGACATCAATTCTTCTTCTGTCATCCTCACTCATTGCCCAGCTCTCAGATGTATAACAGATGATTCAAAAGACCGTGACTTGAATCAGTCACACCCTGGTGTTTAATGTAGAGAAGCCAAAAGAGGAAAGAAATTTTAAAGTAAGAGAGAAGAGCAAGTTTCCAAAGGACAGCTTGAGAAGACAAATTATGAAAATGAATTGTGAAAAGAACTGGAGTTTGAAAACCAACAGGAAGAATACACTTACTATATTTCAAGCTGCTGAAAGAACTGAAGGACAAATTCCAGGCTTAAGTTGGAATACTGAATGATTCTATGGGCAAAATCTTAAATGATGCAGGAAACATCAAAAGAAAATGGAAGAAATACACAGATTCACAGAACCCAAAGGAATTGATTGACCCTGAACCATTTAAGGAAGTAGCAAAAGAGCAAGACACAATGATATTGAACTCAAACTCAACCTGATTGCCATTGAGTTAGAACTAACTCATAGCTGACCCTCCATTGGATTGCCAAAGCCATAAATCACATGGGAGAAGATTACTCCTCTTTTCTCCCTGAAAGCTGTTGATGGATTCCAGCCACCAGAACGCCATGGCCTTGGGTTAGCAGTGCGACTCCCTGTAGTCCAGGGCTCCAGAGCTCCCAAAGGGTACTGAAGGAAGAAAAGCTGCTCTAAAGGAATTGGCAAAAAATAAGGCTATAGGAATTGATGGATTATCACTTGAGGTGTTTCAGGAAAAAGATGTGATACTGAACATTTTCATTCATCAATGCCTATAAATTTGGAAGATAGCTTCCTGGCCAACTAGAAAAGATCCATAGTTGTGCCCATTAAAAAACAAATGCAAAAAATTACAGAAATTGTCAAGCAGTATCGTTAATATCATGTTGTTGTTATGTGCCGTCGAGTCGCTTGCGACTCATAGCGACTATGTACAGCAACCCTAAACTCTGCTCTGTCCTGTGCCAATCACACTGTCTCTGACACTCCCATCCCGATTACCCCAGTCACTGAATCAATCCACCTCATAGAGGGCCTTCCCCTCCTGCGCTGTCCCTCCACCCTCCCAAGCATGATGTCCTTCTCCAAGGACTGGTCTCTCCTCACAACATGTCCAAAGTATGTTAGACGGAGCTTCAGAATCCTTGCCTCCAAGGAGCCACCCAGTTTAACCCTTTCCAGGATGAATCTCTTTGTTTTCCTAGCAGTCCATGTTACTCTCAATACTCTTCTCCAGCACCACAACTCAAAGGCATCAATTCTCCTTCTATCCTCCTTGGTCATTGTCCAACTCTCTGATGCATAACAAGTGATTGCAAAGACCATGGTCTGTATCAGATGCACCTCAGTCTCCAGAGAGACACCATTGCTCTTCAGTACTTTGGAGAGGTCCCTAACAGCAGACTTTCCCATCGCAGGATGTCTTTTAATTTCCTGGCTGCTGGTGCCAAGAGGGTTGACTGTGGAGCCAAGCAAACTAAAGCTTTGAACAATCTCAATCTCTTCACCATCCATCCTGATGCTGCCAATTGGCCCAGTGGTGAGAATCTTTGTCTTCTTGACATTGACCCTCAATCCATATTGGAGCTGTAGTCCTTGACCCTCTGCAGCAAGTGCATGAGGTCCTCCTCAGTTTCAGTGAGCAGGGTTGTGTCATCTGCATAACACAGGTTGTTGATAGATCTTCGACCAATCCTGACCCCACATTTCTCCTCATAGAGCCCAGCCTCCCGGATAATCTGTTTGGCATACAGGTTGAAAAGGTATGGAGATAGGACACATCACTGGCGTACGCCCTTCCCAATTTTGAACCATGCAGTGTTCCCTTGCTCTGTTCTGACGACTGCCTCCTGGTCCAAGTATAGGTTTCACATTAGCACAATCACCTGATTTTTCTGGGATTCCCATTCTTCTCAGAGTCAGCCACAGTTTGTTATGATCCACACAGTCAAATGCCTTTGCATAATCAATGTAATAAATGGTTTTATTTGAGAAAAAAAATCTGTTACTTTATTTCAGTACCATTTTTAAATGGATGGCACAAATATGCAATCCCAAGGAAAAGGAAATGACATATGACTTAAGTAGTAAATTTTCTAGTGATTATCACCATCCCATTTTGTTCGTATCTATACCTAGTTGGCCATGCCTGACCCATTATTTCAAGGTGCAGTTTGAAATCCATCCATACAAGATCACTTTCTGTGGCTGGAGGCATAATGCACCCCAGGCTCCCACTTTCTCCCAAAATGGTCCCTAAGTGGCATAATCAGCAGCTTGGATTATTGGTTTAGCATAAAAAAGTTTTCTGTGTTCTGATCAATTAGAGATTTTTTTTTCCTCTATAAGGACTGCAGCCTTCAATATGGATTGAGGTTCAATATCAAGAGACAAAGATTCTCACCACTGGGCCAATTGGCAGCATCAGGATGGATGGTGAAGAGATTGAGATTGTTCACAGCTTTAGTTTGCTTGACTCCACAGCCAACACTCTTGGCACCAGCTGCCAGGAAATTAAAAGACATACTGCGATGGGAAAGTCTGCTGTTAGGGACCTCTCCAAAGTACTGAATAGCAATGGTGTCTCTCTGCAGACTAAGGTGTGCCTGAAACAGGCCATGGTCTTTGCAGTCAGTTGTTATGCATCAGAGAGTTGGACAATGACTAGGGAGGATAGAAGGAGAATTGATGTCTTGAAGCTGTGATGCTGGAGAGAGTATTGAGTGTACCATGGACTGCCAAGAAAACAAACAAATTTATCCTTGAGAGGGTTAAACCGGGCTCCTCCTTGGAGACAAGGATGCTGAGGCTTCACCTGACATACTTTGGTCATGTTGTAAGGAGAGACCGGTCCTTAGAGAAGGACATCATGCTTGGGAGGGTGGAGGGCAGGCGCAGGAGGGGAAG